TAAATATGGGTTAAAGGTGATGGTGACCCATTCTACATCGTCAGATTGGTTATCATCTATCGTCATTATCCTCACTATGCCCACCACGGAACACCTCAGATGATTGGAGGCTGTGCACATTTTTAAATCCAGTTTTACATCTACATGCATAAATTATAAAGAGGAAATGGTTTTGTCAATGGCCTGGCAAGAATTGATTGACAGCATGGTTTAGCCGTTCCTTGAGTTCCAGTAGAGCGACTCTTTGTGCAGGCATGACATGGCTTTAATAATTATTCGAACTCTTGTTTGAATTTTATTCCAAAATGAAGAAACATCGAGGAACCTTTAAAAATCCTGAAGAACTCAGAAGGAGTTTGAAAATGTTCATTTTTGTTTGTTTTCATTATCTACACACCATAATTGATTCAGAGTACATGATTGAAAATCAAAATTGTTATCTCATATAATAAGATGAAATTGATTGATTATTGTTGAAATATTGATACTGGTTAATCAATGTAGTCATAATTAATTACCTCTGTTCTATATGTTAAATAATTTTTTACATATCATTTTTAACAATTAGTTTGAGAGATCATCACTCCACTATCAATTCCATAACATTAAATAATGATGGTAATTCTAAATCCATTAAAATGAATTGAAATGTACAACTTAAATGTTGCCTTGCACAACACTATGTTAAATTCTTTTTAAATAGGCTGCAGTACATGTGATAGCTAAGTATACTTATATGGACATTAAACAAATATTTGTCTGCAAATCCAACAATATGAAATGATATTAAACTCAAATAAAATATATGGATCTAAATTAAAATAATGCAAATACATTTATGAATATTTATGTAAGCATATTAACTTTAAAATATCTTTACCAAATGCAGGCAGTAGGCCACAGTGAAACATTCAGCAAAGTACATATTATTAATTCCTGATATAGAATGATGTTTTAAAACAGAACAGAATTAAGAAATGAAATAAACTTCACTATAACACAACACTTTGCTTGAAAAAACATTTTAATAAAGGTAAAACATGTTAGAGTAAAACTAACGTATTTAGGATGTTAAAATTTAAACAAATTCAAATAAATCAATAATGATACATTGTAAAGGAAAACTGAGCTAACTTACTAAGTAATGATTATAATAATGTTAAGAAATGTACTGAATAAATTGTATTCATTGAACTATGTCAATATATTTTAATTACTTCTGTGGAAAATTAAGTTTATGCCTACCTACATTGTTTTATAATTATGGCTGAGTTTTAATCCTGTATCTGATCCTAGTGTAGTGTGACTAAGCTTTATTTAGTTTTAAAATTTTTTTTCTCTTCCTTTTATATTCCCCTTCTGCTCTTTATCTTATTCTATGTTGTCTCCAATGTGGTATCTGGCCATGATAACTGGTTTGGCATGATTGAAGGTCAGCAATGGGACTCTTAGCATGTGGAGTGAAAGAGAAAGAAAAAAGAGTATATGGCAGTTGTGAATGTTGAAGAGTATGGTCATATGGAGTCAACAGATGAGAAACATACAAGAAGGAATTGAACTTCTTTTGGTGAAGGTTACAAGAGGAGGAGGAGTGCCTTTTTGTTTTTTAAATCACTGAAAATTCATAGGAATTTGGTTTAGGGTATTGGCTGTGCACCTATGCATGGTGCCTTTCATGTTTTAAAGAGAGAACAAAGAAAAAAGTTTAGAATAATCATCTCAAACAAAACCACAAGATTAAGATTAGTTTTAGTATTAGTTTATATATATATATCAATTCTCTTAAGTTTATATGAATCAATCCATGATTGTGTAATAAAATTGTGTGAAGTGAATTTTCTCAACTTTTGAATATCTTGATGATTATTACTCAAATAATTATACATCATAAAACATTTATAAATGTGTTTATAGAGTTGTTTGTTATATACAACATTGATCCCTATTTGATACTGTGTACATTTTTTTAGTGTTTTTTGGAATTCATTCTCTGCACATTGGTACTCAATATCTACATATCAAAATTTTGTAATCTTAGAATATAATTGAGATTTAAATGTATTTGAGCTAGTTTAGTAACTTCATTTACCAAGAAACAACTGAAATATTCTGTCATAATTCAGTGAATAGAGCATTCTACAAATTATTGTATATATTTTTTAATATTACTTACTATAGCTACTATTTAATAATTTTGTTCAAATTTTTTCNCCCAAAGTTGGTGTTCATCAGAGTGAACTCAGTTGTTTCAAGATGGCACCAACCTGAACTGCACACCAGTTTTAGGATTGTCAACAGTAATAGTACCACTAGGATACATTACTACTTCAACCTAAACATGACTACAGAGCATTCTACAAATTATTGTATATATTTTTTAATATTACTTACTATAGCTACTATTTAATAATTTTGTTCAAATTTTTTCTTCCTTAAAATATAATATAGCTGATTTATTCAAATATGGTTGAATTGTAATGTTCTAAATATTTTTTTAATTTTGAAATGTTTGCTTGAAAAATCTTTTAATAAAGGTAAAAGTGCCTATGCTATAATAAATTTTATTTCACTTTGTTATCAATACTATTTTGTTTTAAAACATTATTAATTAAACTGCATGGTACGGTGTACAGGGTATCATGTACCATAAATTTCTGATGTCTTTTTTGTAGTTTTTGAATTCAATGTGTCTTTTCTTAAAGGCTAAGCCTATGACATCAGAAAGAAATTATAATATGTAAATATTGCATAATAAATTTGATGAATGTCAACTTTACAAATTTTAATTGTTTATTATTATATGACCTGTAATGCTCATAAATTTATTAAATTTAGAAACAGAATCAGTTAAAGACAAAATATAATTGAATTATCAAATACAACACAAAAATAAGTGAGATGATCAATGCTAATTTGTAAAAATATCATAATGAATTAACAAAAGAATCTAATTTATTAAGAAACTACTAAAAAAATTAATAAATTTTACTATTAATATAACATAACGTAATATATTTTCTAAATTAACAGTAATAAATTATTATTAAATGATATTGATGATAAATTATTAATTAATTTAATTAATATAGCTAATCCTCTCTGAACCAATTATCAACCTAATACATGTGAGTAATACATGTGATCATTTTAAACTTAAGAAGACAATAAAAATAATTGAATGCCATAAATCATTGCCAGGTCATCATTTGATGATTAAACAATTTAATGATCACAAATTTTAAATGGCAGATGAACATATTGACATTGAATTAATTTAATTACATTTTGACATAGCTCAAAAAATAAATAAATAAATAAATACTACTACTACTACTACTACTACTACTACTACTACTACTACTACTACTACTATCCACACATTAAGCAAATATAGTACTATATGCTCTTGTAGTAGAATTTGAACTACTACTACTAGTTTAATGTGTGAATGTATTGTCAATTATTCTATTCATATTCCAAGAAGAAACTAATCCAAATACCAGTACATATTATTATTTTACTGAAATGTAACCATATCAGTTGTCATTTGCCATTGAACTTTTAATAATTTTTTAATGTACATTTGTCTGGTGCACTTGTTCTATTTCTATGGTTAATCCATATGTGTTATCATTTGCGTATGAGCTTGCTGTATCCGTGCTCAGAGGCTATTCGATGTGTAAGCCTTAGCTTCAACTGTAGGGCTTGCTTAGTAGAAGAGTGCATGTGTGCTCTCTTAATTAGGGCTTTAAATGGCACAACCTTATACTGTGGTGGGTCACATGACCTACCAAAGTATAAGGTAATAATTTTTTAATATTAATTAATTATTTCTAAATGTAGTTAAGCTCTTATATTTATATGCAAAAAATTAATAATGTTTCAATATTTTATATTTATTGTTAAAAGTTTTAAAAAAAAATTTTTTAGTTATCGTTATATGTTTTGAATGAAATATAATTTTTTAATGCATTTGTAAATTCAAATATTTAATATTCAGACTACATCATGTTGTTAATTTAAAATGTAATTTAGAAATGAAATAAATAATTAGAATTATTGTATTATATGCAATAATTTTTGGACACTCAGATATTTACTTTACACATGTTAAAAAAATCTGAATGCACACTATTATCATAAAATGAAGAGCACACTATTATCATAAAATTCTCTACTAATAAATACTAAAAATATCAATACTTTCCGGTTAGCAGGGTGCCAGTCAATTGATGCAATCCAACTCACATGTATTAGGTTAATAATTGGTTCAGAGAGGATTATCCAAATGGGTAGGTTATATTTAGGTTAAGGTTTTAGGTTTAGGTTAGAGTTAGAGCGCATCAATTGACTGGCACCCTGCTAACTGATAAGTACTGAAATATCATTAATTTAAATTTTATAAGAATAGAATGAATAGAATTTCTTCAATTTTCTTTAAGCAAATTACTGTTTAATGAGTACAGTAATATAATTTCTAATATTTACCTTTAAATAGTATTTAATCATAAATTCCATTTTATTTACTTATGTTTCTGTATTTTTTCCTCAACTCATTATTACTGATGCCATTTAATTAAAGCTAATAATGTTTTTTATGTTTGATTTCATCATTCTTAGAAAAAAATTATTTATAATTAATCTTTATCTTATTTTGGCGGTCATTATTATTGTATTTAATCAAAATATTCATTTGATGAATTATAAAATGTGTTGCTGGTTATAATAATGCAATTTTAAAAATTCAGATTTTTCATAAATTTATATTTTCAGTTACTCAAATTGTTAATAAGTCTAAAGTTTTTAAAAATATGATTTATTAAAGTTCACTATATAATTAACTAATGTGGCAATTATCTACTATAAAATATGTTCTGTATAAACTGTATAAATGTATAAGTTTTTGCATGAAGAAAAATTTACATTGTTAAATGAATGTTAATTACTTACAAGAAAATTAAAATTATTTTATATTGTTAGGAATTCTTGATCCTACACTAAACAATTTAATATTTAATTCTTTATTTATTATTATATTTGTTCAGTATGGAATTTGCATAGACCTGGACAAAATTTGCATTTGTTTCTCTTTTCTCAGTTACAAACTTTTTGTGTACAGGAGATGGTAAAGCACTGAAGATGAAATTAAAAAACAACTCAAAACCTGTGATGAATTCAGTGAATCTAAGTAACAAAATAGAAATAAAGGACAATAAAGAAAAGGTAACAATAAGATATTACTCTTATTTATAAATAGCATATTAATTCAGTTATCAAGTATAAAATAATAATAGGAATTGTTTATTCAATTCTGTTACTCTTGATAACTCAAAAGAGAATTTAATGATCCTTTATTAAACAAAGTATATATCATGTGATTGATGATGATTTTTGGTGACAGAAATTTTTTTATTTTGGAAAATATTGATCTTAGTGTTGTATTCACTTTCATTACATTTAGAAGAAAATTTTATTTGTTACAAATACAGTAACAAAACTTTAGAATTTATTTACACTACTGTTGGATCATAAATATATTAACCAGATATTAACTGATTAATATATAATTTTATAGTCTTTGCATAAATATTATAAAGCCAATATAAAGAAACTATCATTACCCAAATTAGATTCAAGTAATTATTGTAGGATATTTTTCAGAACTATCTTTGAAAGTAAATGTTTCTTTCAAACATAATTTTTAACTAATTTATCTAAACAATCTCATATCTTTATCAAAAAGAAAGTTTTATGTAAAGAATGTTCTGTTTAAATATACAATGTAGAAAATAAATGCATATTTGTAAGTGGTAAATTAACTTTTCCAAATAAAATTAACAACTTATATCATTTTTTGATTAATTTCTTAGAAACAATCTTAAAAATTGTTAGCATCAGTGCTTTTTTCAGCCTGAAAGCACTGGCAGATAGTACATATCAGCTATTGATATATTCTTATGCTATTAGCGGTTCTCAATAAAAACAATTGTGTATATTCAGTCACCATATATGCATATCTGTAATAATTTTTTTACAAAAAGCACTGGTTAGCATGAATGTTGTAAGATTGAAATATAAATGGCAGAGTTAAATAATATGAATTAAAGTAAAAAGGAAATAAAAAGAAATGAATAAATAAGTAAAGCAGAGTAAGTAATCTTAAATACTGATACTAAACTTGGTATCAAGAATAATTCTTTAGTATACTCTCCTATTCTTCACACACACTATTTATAGTGATGCTATGATATCATATTAATTTTTTAAAGACATTATTCTTTCATAACAACAAAATTTGTTTTATTGGATCTTGCATACATTAAATAAAAGTTTATCTTAATGTAAGTGAGCTCCAAAAAGTAGATTTTTGTTACTAATTTAAGAAATTAAACGTATACTCATTGTTTATATTATTCTTTCAACTTTAATGTTATTTTTTTTTTTTTACATTTTCTAGTTGAAAGACTGACATCAACAACAGCAGTAATTTTATGTTAGAGGATTTTCATAATTTTGCTATAAAATTTTTATTTTTATCTTCAAATCCTGAACAAACAGTTGAAATTAGCATTGACAGTATTTAAAAAACTAAATTCGGCATTTAGGAAATTTACAAAAAAAAATGTTTATACTGTTATTAATACTTCTAAAATTGACAAATTTTAAAAGTATTAATAATACTTGTTTTCTTGTTTTCAGCAAAAGTTATATAATAAAAAAAATATTAAATTACATTATTAGAATGCTTAAAAAGATAAATAATAATTTAAAATATTTTACTAAAGAAGTTCTACATATATTTAAACAATAAAGAAATAATTAATGATGATTTTAATCTTAAAATTTATGTATTGGAAAACTTTAATTTTTTTTTTCATATTAATTTGTTAAATATCATCAGCTTTTTTTTTCTACATTAAAGCTATTTTAAATTTTAGCAACAAATTAATTTTGGTGCTAAAATTTTATATTATCTTAAATTAGAACAGGATTAGAAAGCACTATTTTAAAAAGATAAAAGACTAAAACAGCATGAAAAATTAAATAGAATAGGAAATTAAGGTCTTTTTTTTCCTTAAATTTCCAATATAATTTTGCAGAATATTATCATTACTATGAATATATTAACCTTTGTTACTTTTTTTTTTATATCTTACATTTCATTTTATTTATTTTTTTTTTTAGCCTTATTGCATTATAATGTGATATGTGTCCTCTTAGCTCTTGATAGCATGCAAACACAAAACAAACATAGAATAACCACTAATATAAGAAATGTTCTTAATAGCCACCAAACAAAGATTATAAAATTAACATCATTTATGGAGACCAGGTTTCTAAAATTACCAAGGTCTCCGATGAGGTGACATGTATCAGTCAAACTAAAACTAGCGTATTATAAGTCAAATGCAGGGTAAACTTGGCCCTGATAAACAAAATTTCATACTTTTACAGTAATGAGTTTATAAAAGATTGGTTTGGGCCTCCCTGTTAGTAGGTGCCCTAGGCAATTGCCTTTGTTGCCCATAGGATAATGTGCCACTGGTCTCAAAAATTGTTTAAATGATCCTCTTTGTCTCATTATTTATACTTGGATTGGGTCCACTAAGCAGCGACAATTACCAGGTCAACCACTCAGAATCTATTGCATTTAATGTTGTCAACCAATAATGTTCTATCACACTAATTAATACTAGAGTGGAAATATATCACCAAACCTTCTTTGAAGTACCTTCTAAACAATTCTCCAGTAGCTTATTATTTTGATAACAACTAACATTTTCGATCGTAAAAGTTTAAAGTAATAACAGTTTGAAATGGGTTTAATATTGTGTATCCCACTTTATAACAATGATGTCATGCAGCTAATTTAACCTGGAGACATTCAATTAATGGAACATTTTTTAAAATGCAATGTTTATGTTCAACCTAAAGAAGACCCAGCTGAAGATTGAAAATGTAAGTTGTTATCAAAATAATAAGCTACTGGATAATTGTTTAGAAGGTACTTCAAAAAAGGTTTGGTGCCAACCAATAAAGTAAATTGGTAGAGAAACAAAGTCCAGAAATAGAGGATTAGACAGATCCATCTTTAGGTGTGGGCCTACCGGGCCTGGGTCCAGGGGCCTCCTAATATTCAAGACCTTGAAAATATGCAAATTGAATAGAGCAACAAGTAATAAAATTATTATAAACAGTAAACAATCAAAAGATATGTTTGATAAATTTTATTAAACATAAATATAACAATATGTTTAGCAAAGAAAGCTAATTGAAAAAATTTATGAACATTAACCTTCCATTACAGATTCCTTAAGGGGGCCTCCAAGTTTTTCTTGGCCCAGGACCTCAGATGTACCAAAGATGGGCCTGGGATTAGATAAGAAAAAAAGATTAAAAAGAGAAAGTGGGTCAAGACAAAGGCAAAATGTAGAGAATAATGACTAAAATGCCATAATAAAATTAATTTCATAGTTCATAGGTGAGAGATCTGGACTTTATGAAGGTGCTCTAGGAATCTGTCATTTAAGACTGTCCAACTTCTGCTTAACAATATTGTCAACAAGGGGGGAGTGCATTATATGAACAAAGATTGCAACAATGCATGTATCTATAAAGATCTTCAGAGAACTTCACATACCATTTTACACTGGTGGCTTTGGACACCAGTGTAAAATGGTACATCTTCATTCGATAAAATCCCATATATCTTCATCATTCTGCAAAGTATATCCACTGATCTATGTCCTTTCACAGCCAAAAATAGGACAATGGCATATTGATCTTATTTGGACATATTTGATAGTGTTAGCAACACTAACACTATCATATTGATGGTATTGTTTTTACCAAATAAATCCAAATCAAATCATTCCATATTTACAATAATTTTGTGTCCACATATATGTCCAAATCATATTGTTTCACATGTAATTCAGGATGCAACAAATATCTTACTAATTGCATGGCTAGATCACTGGCTTCATATTGGACTCTCTCTGGACAAAGTACTGTACTGTACTGTACATGTCATACATGTGACTGCAGCACTATCAGTAAAAACTTTTTGATCATCCCTTATATTTAACTGATTAGAACAATTTTCTTGATAATTATTTATATTATTTGTGTTTTAGAAAATTTCTTTTTAATCCTGTAATTTTAAAATAACAGTAAGATGAAAATTGCTAATATTTAAAAAGCTGAAAAGATTTGAATTTGAATATGCAATTCAAAATGCTTTTCTGAAAGCAAAAATTTTTAGAAACCTCCAATATTTTTGGATTTCTGATGATGGACTTATGGCTATCATTGAGAATCCAAAAGAGAAATACAGATTGGAAAGAAAATTCCAAATTTATAGTAACTAATTGTGTTCTATTGTATATTAGAATAGACATAAATGAATAATAAATGAATAAAACAAAATAAAAGCTACTATGAATAGTTTCATAGTAGCTTTTATTTTGGTTTTGTGTTAAACTTAATGCCATTAGCTTTATTAGATAAATAATTAGGTTTATAAATAATAAATCACTATTTTTTAACATAATAACATCCTTCCTCTTCTCCATAGTTACTTTTGTCTAGATAATTGTTCTCAAATGAATGGAAGAAAATCACTAAGTTTTCATTATAAAATATAAACTTTGCTGTTTTTTATTTTTGCAATTTACGATTGTATATATATAGGAAATTATAAAACAATGAAAATATTCTAAGCTTTCAATAGCATGTTTTTATTATTTAATTTTCTCTAAAATTGATGCAAGAGTGCTGAAAGTGTTACAAATAGAAAATAGAATAAATAGTTATTTTGTTTTTTGTTGTTTATTTTCAAATTAATTTTTCTATTTTTTAATGTTTTACTTTAAATTAATCTTTATATTGAATATTTATTATATTCAGTATAAAGAATAAGAAATTTGTATTAAAATAATATGAATTTCTTGTTATGGTTGATATATTAAAATAATAATATAGTAGTATAAATATATAGATTTTNTTAAAAAATTTTTAAATAAAATGTCATAACAGATGGCACTACATGCAGTTTTAAATGCTGTTAGAAAAGTTAAACAACTTTATTTCTTGGAAACATAAGGCTCCAGATGATGTTTCAAGCAGGCAGTTCAGAATACAGCATGGATATTGTTGATTGTCTGCTGTGATGATTCACCTAGATCAGCCGCATCATTCACAGATTCAAACTGCATTATGTT